TGGAATGGGGGAAATGTGACCTATAAAAGCCCATACTTTTGGCTAACACTTCCCAAACCCATTTTTTTTACCATCACATGGTAAAACAGAGTCAAAGTGACGGCAAAACACAGTGGTTATAGCTCCACAACCACCCCAAGATCCTTAAATGTGTGTGTGTATTCTTAAAATGAGATAGAAATAGGATCCAAATGAAACAGAAAGTGACATTATGCCACTTCTGGTTACTTCGTACCAGAGTGACTCTCAGGGATGTCTGGAGTGTGTGAAAAATGCATCTCACTTCCTCTACAATTGCCCATCTCTATATCAGTGACTTCTCCCCAACCAGGGAATGAATAGAAGACACCTAAAATGGATTTAAAACATGAATTTAGCACTATTTCAGCTTCACTAGTCTTCAGTGCAGAAATCAGTTGGTTTCAGACTCCAAACAGTGTTGTGTTGTTGTTTTGGAGTGTTCTTTAAGAACAATTTAAGGGTGAAACACCTCAGCTCAAAGGCATGTATGAAACCATGTCTTGTGTCATGTCTCAGACAAATTCCCAAATTGGGTACACAGAGAGGAGTTCCTGTCCAGGCAAGGGATGGCAAAAGCACTTCCCCATCCAATCCAAGGAGAAGGAATGACATTCTGATCTGATCCTGTTTATTATATTCAAAATGTCATCAGCACTTGGCATGAATTTTTGCTGTCATTTGTTGCATTTCCCTAATTTACCAAATTGGGGTGTGGAGCAGAGCTTGGATTGTCCTTCTTGAACATGTATATGGCAGCTTTTTTCAAGAGACTTTGGAAAGGGAAAATGATCTATAACTGCAAATTGACTTCCCCAAACATATTTTGTACTGTATTTTATAATATACTTCCTCACTGCTGGTCTGAATGGCTCTCTTCAGAATTATTTAGGCAGCATTAAAAAAATGTCAGAAGAAACCTTTTCACTCAGACTGTGTATGTGTGCCATTTTCAAAGCTTATTATTGACTTAGATTGATGGTTAGACATGTTTCCAGAGGAATAACTGGAGGAGGCATTTAATTTCTAGGATTGTGAGTCTCTACAAAGACTCAGAAGATTTAAAGGCTGTCTGGATAAAATAAGTAACAATGTACAGCATAAGGAGGAGAAAGAGGAGAAGGAGTGTGTGGGAGGTGAAGCAGGAAACCAAACTGATGGTGAGGTGCCTAAAGGATTTGCCTAGTTTTGTCCTGCATTATTTGTACAGTGTAGATGCACTCTGACTTTTCTTCTTTACATTGGTTAGTATTAAAAAGACTAGCATGTTAGGTGTGTCACTCCATGGCATCAGACCTAGATCTGGATGGAGTAAAGTGTGGGGATTCATGAATCTACTAGCTTTAATTGATATTTTTCCCAGAAATCTCTTCATCCCCATCAAGAAGAAATAAATTATTTACAAAAACTGGATTGAAATTCTTTTCCATTTGTGTTGGTCAAATTCAGCAGATACATCATGGAGAAGGTAATGGTTGTTATCTGTTAAAATTGGAGAGCCGTTTGGGGAGGGGGTAAATGTCAACACAAATGAAACACTACAAATATGGTGGCATGGTTTAAAAATATTAGGATGCAAAGGCCTGAGCCTAGATGGATGAATTTGTCACTTTGGATTGTTCTCACATTTGATTTGTTTTAAAAAGCATGTCAAGTTTTTTCCCCTCTGGAATATGGAGAAATCAAAATTTTATTTTTTGTCAAATTCTTCTATAAATGAACACAATTGAATTTTACCTTCATCCTAATCTATTGTTGTTGTTGTGTGCCTTCAAGTCATTTCTAATTTAAGGCAACCTTAAGGTGAACCTATCACAGGGTTTTCTTGGCAGAATTTATTCAGAAGTGGTTTGCCCTTGCCTTCTCTGAGACAGAGAATGTAGCTTGTTCAAGGTCACTGAGTGGGTTTCCATGGCCAAGCTGGGATTTGAATCCTTGTCTCCAGAGTCTTAGTCCAATGCTCAAGCCACTCCATGCTGGCTTTTAGGCTAGCTGAATCCCACAACCATCAGCAGTTTGTGGTGCAAGTGGAAGAGAGGTACTTCACTATGGTTTTTGAAACTGAGGCACTTTCTCACTCTCATGATCTTGTCAATATCAGTTGAAGCCCTGTAGAGTCTGCATTTGTTTGTTTATTCATTTATTTTGATATCCAGCCATTGCCCCAAAACTTGGACTTAGCTGGGAACTGGGATTCTCCATTCCTGTGTAAATAAACTTATGATTTATGAGGGCACAAGAATCATAGAATGTATATCTCAATTGCCTTGGAGCTTAATTTAATTTATAATCAGGATGCAGTGGCTCAAATGGTTAAGACACTGAATGTTGATTGCAAGATCAGCAGGTTGGCAGTTTGAAGCCCAGGTGCTGCGTGATGGGGTGAGCTCCCATCACTAGTCCCAGCTTCTGCCAACCTAGCAGTTCCAAAGCATGCATATGCAAGTAGATAAATAGATACGACTTTGGTGGGAAGGTAAACAGCATTCTGTGCAATCATGCTGGCACCATGATCACACACTAGTCTCTGATAACAATGGCTCTTCGGCTTAGTAACAGAGGTGAGCACTGCCCGCTATGGTCGGACATGACTTGACAACCTTGTCAACGGGGAATACCTTTACCTTTTTACCTTAATTTATATGCACAGGTAACTCATTATGAATATATGAAGCTGTCTGATACTGATTCAGATTGCTGAACCAAGTCACCCACTACTGCATATTTACTTTATCTGACAGCATCTTTCTCAGGTCTAGGGGTGCCATCTTTCCCAGACTTGTTACTCAATATCCCTTAAATTGTCATGGCAGACATTGAATTTGAGAGCTGTCTGATTATCTGTTCTTGCTTAAGTGAAATTCTTGTCCTGCTTCCTGACTAGTGTGATAGATTCTTCTCTTTCACATCTTAGATAATTATTCCATGTTGCCATTCCATATGAAAATAGGTCCTTCTCCAACCACTATATCCTTCCTGAATGTCATTGGCCATGCTTGATGGGAATGAAGTCTATGAAAGCTCATGCTGCCAACTTCTTTATTTAAGTTAGGGGGGATGCAGACAGGTGGCTGTGGGCCTCCCTGGGAATCAGAGGATTGGGCCCGAGGCTGCCCCACACCTTGGCCCCAATCCTTGCTTCTGCCAGCCCTGGAAGGAGCACTAAAATGCTGGTCTTTCCAGAGCCAGCAGAAGGGGCACATCAAGAGCTGCCATGCGGCTCTTCTGAGCCTCTTCCAACAAAGCACTTGACAACGCTGTGCTGGGAGGATGTATTCAGGGTGCGCACCATGCGTAATGGTGCACGCCCTGATGACATCCTTGGGGAGGGGTTGAGGCAGCCACTGTGCAGAGGATTTGGGCAGCTGCACGGTGGCCGCTTCAACCCTTCCCCTTCCATGCCTTCAAGACGGCACTTGGCGCCATCTGCAGAGGCCCTTAGTCTCAAAGATCTCTCTACATATTGATTCTACAGACTAATATGGCTATATCTTTGAATTCTACTGGAATGATATGAGTTATAATTGAACACTTTCAGATGGTGCTGCATTGCAGAAGCCTGGTCTAGTTCACAGAAGTAAAAGAATTTATAAACATTATACTACATCAGTCTGCAGCTTGCTGTCTTTCTATCCACACACACACATAAATCTGCACACACTCACATTCCACATATAACCAAAATGCGAAGAAGAAGAATCTATCCTTCTTCCTAATATGCTAATTTCTGCACCAGTTGCCATAGATAAGCAAATCAGAATGGCTCAAACTAGATGAAACATATAGCACATTTTTGGAACAGGTACTCCCTTCAATAGAGAAAGACATCTGTTTGTTGTAGCATGTACTTTCCCTCCCCTGCATCTTGCAGTTAACATGGTTTATTTAGTTATTGCTTACTTAAAGAGATACACCAACTTATTTTGCAGTTCTGGTTGCTAAGGCATGCATTTCTGGGGAAATCCCATTGTGGGAAAATTTCACAGACAGAATACATATTTTCCCTTAACATTTAGTTTGACCTTCTGTGGTCCTCCCCTTCCACAAACACCTGGAACTTGAAATGAGGCAGTTCACTCCCTCCCCAACTTCATCTTCTGATTATGTGAACAAGTCCCAAATTTCGATTAAAACATGTGGAATTCTGCAGCATCTCCATCATGATCATTTTCCAGCTCTGCAAGCAAACTTGAGATGAATGCATCAATTATATTACAGCTGTTCTTAGATAAACTGACATGTGAGCATGCCTCCTGTGACCTTTTTCTTTCTTAGCTTTAGAATCATGCACAAGCTTGACAGTTCCTTCCAGCCAACTTCAATTGGTTCAGATGTGCCCCTAAAGGGAATTATCCCATATTAAGTGGTTTATCATTTGTCAGTTTTTAACAAGGCTGAAGTAAATCTCTTATATATCAAAGGTTAAATCATTTTACACATGCCTACTATGCAAGATTTCTCACCTGTTCAGCTAATCTCATTTTAAAACAATTTTTCTTTCATTTATAAAATTGCATTGTGAAGTATTGTCATTGTCCTTACATGCAGCTCTTCAGGGAGCACAGATGAGACATTCCATGTTCTCCAAGAGCTTAATGTGGATAAAAGCTGACATTCAGGAGTTCATCCTGACAGCCCCATAGATTCAGTCCAATAGTAATAAAGTTGTGCCCCTAGGAAACACACACACACAGACAAACTCTTTCTCTCTCACGCTCTCTCTCTCACTGCCTCTCCCGTTTTTCCCTCTCTGTGTGCATAAATATAGATATAAACCATATTCAAGTATCTAAAAAGGGAGGGAGCATGTTGTTGTTGTTGTTGTTGTTGTTGTGTGCCTTCAAGTTGTTTCTGACTTATGGCGTTCTTAAAGCAAACCTTTCATAGGGCTTTCTTGGAAAGCTTGTTCAGAGGGGTTTTCCATTGCCACTTTCTGAGGCTGAGAGAGTGTGACTTGGCCAAGCTCACCTAATAGGTTTCCATGACTGAGTTGGGATTTTGAACCTTGGTCTCTAGAGTCATGGTCCAATGCTCAAACCACTGAACCACACGGGCTCTTAAATTAAATTGGTCTAAATCCTGTTGTTAGTCCCAACTAGAAGAACTAGAAGAAAGCCAATGAATAGTCTCAAAGGTGCTACAAGATCTCTCTACATACTGATTCTATAGTCTATCATGACTATATCTTTGAATTCTACCATTGAATCAGTTGGATGTGTCTACGGGTTGCTCCAGGGAGCATGCTAGCCACAGATAAAGTGAGGAACATGTTAGCCATGCCCCATTGTCACTTTCCTCACACAAAAGCAATGTGGCAGATAAAGAAGACAGTGAGTTTTAAAAGCTAGCAGAATGAATGTTGTGTCTCTTTTACTGGCTTACTAAAGGCTTACACAAAACTCTACTAGAATGTGGAGTCTTGTGTATGACAAGAACAGCCATGGAGGTTCTCTGTGCAAATCAGAATCCTGATTTTCCTATGTCCTGGCTCACATGGAGGGCATCTTTGGATATAAGAGACTGACCACTTCAGATATTGTTGTCACATAATGGGAGTTTGTGGAATACACACATTTACCATATGCCACAATAGGGGCAGATTTTCAGCCATCTCTTACAAAGAACCTTACAAAGATATTCCCTTTAAGCCACTAGTGTGAAGGGATCCCACTTGTTATTCATATTCCTACAGGCATAGTTTACATATTAGAGATAGAATCATGAGAGACAGGTTAACATGAAGTTTATGATTCACATTCACTTGGAAGCCCCCACTAATTTGATTTTCAGTTGTTTCCAGAAAAGTACAAAAAGGTTCGGCTATTAAGACTTCCTAAATTAGTCAACAGCACAGTATAATATCACAAAATATGACACACATAGTTCCATGCAGAACATGGAAAAGGTACCCTTGAACTTCAGTTATCAGAATCCCTAGGCTCTGGGAGGAGGGCACTAGAGTTGCCAGGCATCCCATATTTTAAGGAATGCCCTTTATTTAAGGGCTGGGAAGCCTCTCCTATATGATCATTAAACAGGACACCAAAAATCCCATATTTTAAGGTATGGTTGAGTAGTTGGCCCTCAAAATGCACACTAAATGCTGCGAGTCTGTTGTGAGCATGGCCAATGTTCACTCTTCCTACTCCAGGAACAGCAATCTGTTCTGCCTGGCAGCAGTAAAATTTCTTCCATTGCAATGGCTGCAGGCCTGTCCTTGCAAGATTTCCAGGATTTGGGGATTCCCATGGGATCCGATATCCCAGGACCCTTGTGAGAGACTCTTCTCTCATGGCACTTGAAGGTGACCTTATCTAAGCCTGCCTTACACATCCCAGTCAGTCTCAACTGTCCCTTATTAGTATTTTGAAAATTTGGCAACCTCATCATCATCATCATTTTATTCATTTATAGGCTGCATTTCTCCCAATAATGGGACTCAGGGAGGCTAACAACTATAAAATTAAGTGAACATATAAAATATACAATTAAACAATCATATATTAAAACAATTAAAAATACTACACTGCATTATTTCATTTCAAACTGGCTTTAGGACAGGATATGGAGTGGAGACTGCCAAGGTTGCCTTAGCTGATGACCTTCGTCTGGGCATCAATGGGTAGTGTGACCCTGTTGGTACTACTGGATCTCTCAGTGGTAGATCATGACATCCTCTTGGAACACCTGAGAGAATTAGGAATCGGAGGCATTTCATTGCAAAGGTTCTGTTCCTTTCTCTGGGACAGATTCCAGAGGGTGATGCTTACTCAGCAAAAAGGAGCTTAACTGTGGCATCCCTCAGGGTGCCATCCTGTCCCCAATGCTATTTAACATATATATGAAGCCGCTTGGAGAGATCATCCAGAGACATGAGGTGGGGTGTTATCAGTACGCTGATTACACCCAGATATTTTTCTCCATGTCTCGGTCCACAGATTTGACTTCAGATGGTGACTCCCCTCTCAATGAATGTCTTAAAACGGTAATGGACTGGATGAGGAAAAACAGATTGAAACTGAATCCAGACAAAATGAAGGTACTAACGGTAACGGCCCTGAACCCAGGTACTGGGAAACAATTTCCAGTCCTAGATGGGGGTCACACTCTCCTCAAAGGACTGTGTTCACAGTCTGGGGGTGCTCCTAGATCTGTTGCTTCAGATGACAAATCAGCTGAATAACGTGCTTAGGAGAGCCTGCTATCAGCTTCGGCAGAAACGCCAACTGCACCCTTTCCTGGAGGTCGGTGACCTCGAAACTGTGGTATATGCGGTACTCTTGTCTCGTCTCGATTTCTGCAAAGCACTCTACATGTGGCTACCCTTGTGCCTAGTTCGTAAACTTCAATTGGTACAGAATATGGCAGCCAGGTTGATCTCAGGTAAAACCAGAAGAGACCATATAACACCTATTCTAAAATTGC